TGTGTTTGTGAAGCTGTTGGCGGAGACAGATAAGACTGAGTCATGCCTAGTCAGTTCTGAAGCCATGCGTTGTTTGTGAAGCTGTTGGGGGACGCCAACAGTCAGTTCAATGTCTGCTTGGTAAATTCATGAAAAAGGAAATCCATCTAATGTATTTAAAATTGATATTCGCAAGGGGACCGAACGGAAGCGGGCTTCATTTCCTTGTATTTGGGTATGTGCATGGTGAAACAGATCACACGTATGATCGCCCCATGTTTTCCAGGGCGCAAAAGGCGCATTGTTGGTAAATCCGTATGACACGAAAGCGAGAAATCGGTTTATGAGCTAGACTCAGATGACCACAAATAACAACCAAATGAGGGAAATGCAAAACTCGAAGCACCAGGAAGCAAAACAGTACTTTTTATCCAATGCATAAGAAGCTTGTTATGACCACAGCAGTGAGGAGATAAGTATTCGCACCTGTGTAGTTCATGCAACAATCGCCGTAGCGAGGTAAGATTTGATCTCGCTGTTCTGACAGTTTGGTACTTTTCTAAGCTCGCCGTGCGGTGGGAACTAGATCCCTTTCAATATTGGATTGTATGTCCAGGGCGAGGGAGGCACTCCATATGACGCCAAGGTCCGGTCCCAGCAAAATCACCGCGAAAATAAATATGGTCGTCTGTGAGCCCCAAGTAGATAGCGTGCCTAGTTATCGAACCTGAAATGGCTAGGCTGCCAAATGAGAGCAATAGAGCAAGCGAGAGCAATATGGAAGGCAAAGTTTGCCATAAGACGCTGATCGCGAGCCCTGGTCGTGACCTGGCCTTCTGGCCGGATCTCGCCATAAGCCCTGGTCGTGACCCGGTCTTCTGGCTAGATCTCGGCATGCCCCCCCCCCCTCCCCTCCCAGGTGCCTCCTATCAGTATCTCTGTGTGCTGATCAATCCAGAGGTTTATCAAGGAGAATAGTAGATTAAGGCTCGCATTCAGCTGACACTCAGAGCAGAGCGGGTGATCCGATAGCTCAACCCAGACGTGCTGCGAAACATCATAGAGGGCTCTTCGTGCGCGGTCGCACGGTGGCCAACAATGGCAGCGGATTGCAGGTCAAAGGTGTGGTGTTCATAATAAAAGGACTTAATTGAGACTGACTGCCGGTAGTTTTTATCGGAACGCGCTACCAGTGGAAGGGGCAGATTTATCTGCATTCGTACTCTCCGTCCTCAGTTGCTGGGAACGCCGTGCGAGATCAGATTTGCTGCGCAAGCAGTTGGAATTTCCCGTGTCTTAAAACCGGCTTTTAGCAATGCCACATTTCTCCGTAATATCCACCCAACATTACGTTTTCATCGCGGAACTGCCCGTAAAAACTCCTTTCGGTCAAACAACGGATCCGTAGAGAAGTCAGCCGTGGCGCGCATCTGTCGGGGTTCCGCGGCTGTCCCGTCCACAGCTTATGACTCCGAACAGGCGGTGCATTCTCCCGAACATCCACTGAAACCTCACGTTCCACGCCGCCTGCGGGCGTTCGTACTGCACATGCCGCCCGGCCTACGAGCGTTAGTCGTACCCGGTCAGCCCGCCGTCGTCCGGCGCAGGGCCGGCGGCGCGAGCCCCATCCCGTGGGCGTGCGCGCTCTGCACGCGGCGTGCAGCCCGCGAGCGTGTGACCGGCTGGCGGCGCTGTGCGCGGCCTGCGGTGCGGCTGCACCGGCGAGGCGCGCCTCGCGTGTGTGCCGGCCCCTGGCGGCGGCCGGTGGCGGCCGGCTCCCGCGCCGCTCCGCTGCGGACGCGGCTGCAGACAGTCGCTCGCTGCCGGTGTAAAGGTCACGTCTGACGGCTGGCGGTCGGCACGTGTCCGTCTCTCTTGTCCGCCAGGTTAGTCGCCTGTGTCTTCTGAAACCAGCGGTGCCCTCTGTGACCAGCAGCGTCCCTGGTAATCAGCTGCGTCCCTCATAGCCAGCAGTGGTGTAGGTGACCAGCGGTGCCCTATATAGCTGACGGTGACGTCCGTGAGTCCTCTGTCACCAACTTCCGTTATCGGAGGGATTTGCAGTATGCAACGTTGTGCTTGGCAATGGACAGTTTCATCCCGAACTGACAAAGTCATGTTACCAACATTGCTCTCTGTTACCACCTATGCTCTATTTGGCCAGCGATGTTTTATGTTGCCAGCGTTGTGCTCCAGCTGCGCGAACTGCGCTTACCGAAGCACCAACCACCAATATCTGTACCCACTAGGTGCACGTTTACCTAATGCGCGTGGAGATGTAGATGGGAGACTGGATCCAAGCTCGGGTTCTGTAGGGCTCCCCTGGACCGGCACTCGACCAGGAGATGGCAGCAGCTGGGGAATGATTACCATGTGGTGGAGGTGACGCGTCAACCAACCCCGGTGACGCGGAGTTCGCGGGCACACCCTGGCTTCGAGTAGACGGGCCGTGACCGTGCTGAACCAGCCGGCTCTGCAATGAGCTTTTTGCAATGAGCCGAGCTGACAAAGCGGAAGGCCCCTCCCCCCCTCCTCTCTTGTGTGCACGCGTGATACGGCGGAAATTCTAGCAGTGAAGCAGTGGTCAAAATAGTCACGCGGGGATTGAAAGTACCGGGCACAGTGCGTGCATGGGTATTTGTGCGTGTTGGGAACTACGTTCATCCAGAGGGGCCTCCGCGGTGAGGCCCCTATAGAAATACATGAATATAGAAAAATAACAGCGACGTCTTGCCCCGGTTGTGAGTGTCAGTGTCCTCGTGCGGCAGCAACAGCTGAGCGATCAGTATCCTCCTCCGGCTGTAGCAGCTGTAACTGGCAGTTCCGTTCTGTGCACGGCTCGCCGCCGGTGTCTGTTCATGTAACCACGATGGGTCCCCCCCCACTCCGCCCCGATTATGCCAAAATGAGTTGTTTTGGCATGCCTTTGACCAGTGTCCAACGCAAGCTGCAGTGCGTACTGTAATAGACGTGAGTGGCATCGCCGTGCATATGATACCAAAGGATTAGGGGACAGAGCCTGTCACCCCGTGCGCCCACGATTAGGGGACAGAGCCTGTCACCCCGTGCGCCCACGATTAGGGGACAGAGCCTGTCACCCCGTGCGCCCACGCGACATGGCCGCGCCAGTGCATTGTAATATCCACTTTTCATGATCTGAACAGGCAAAAACGGACTGATATCTAGCCTTTACTCGCAAGCGCACAAATGACAGAGGAATGCTGGCTGACTTGGGGCGTCTTCCGGGTCCAAAGCCAGCGGTTTTGAGCTGGCGCGGAGTGGCAGCTCTGGGGGGTGCGGTAGTGTAGTGGTTAACGCGTCTGCGTTAACCACTACGCGTCTGGGAAGCCAGAGGTACGGTGTCCGATTTCCCGCGGTGCCCGCCCTTCCTGCCAGGGTGAGAGGCAGGCGACGCCATATAGCCTCAGCAGCTGAGTGCGTCGTAAAGCCCCAATGACACACACAAGTGCAGCTCTAGTTGATCATATCATTACATTATATACATGCTCCGTTTGATATAAATCCTGAAAAACGGTATAGAACGGCTGGATATATGGATTCCGCGCGATGCCGCGCGGACAGCCTGCGCGGCCCAGCCCACACCTTCGTCATGACGCTTGTCCGTGTCCCCCTCCGACAGCACGCTCGTTCGTGTCCCCCTCCGTGAGGACGCTTGTCCGTGTCCCCCTCCGACAGCACGCTTGTCCGTGTCCCCCTCCGTGAGGACGCTTGTCCGTGTCCCCCTCCGACAGCACGCTTGTCCGTGTCCCCCTCCGTGAGGACGCTTGTCCGTGTCCCCCTCCGACAGCACGCTCGTTCGTGTCCCCCTCCGTGAGGACGCTTGTCCGTGTTCCCCTCCGTGAAGACGCTTCTCTGTGTCCCCCTCCGTCAGGGCGCATTGTCCGTGTCCCCCTTCGTCAGGACGCTTGCCCGTCCACCTCTCCTCTCTCCCAGTGCACCTCTCAGGACGCGTCGGTCTGATGTCACTGGGACGCTTGCCCGTCCACCTCTCCTCCCTCTTAGTCCACTTCTCAGGACGCGTCGGTCTGATGTCACTGGGACACGTGGTCGTCGGGATCGGAGCATGATGTCGACTAGTAGTCTTCAGCCGTTTGGCCGGTTGAAAATGATGCGTTCCCTCTTCGTGGAATGGGGAAGGCGACGTTGGGGTGATGTTGCGATGTTGCAGAGAAACACCGTCCGACCAAGCAGCTGGCATGCAAATGCATTAGAAATGTTTCAGTATTTACAAATGATCACCTCACTTACAGCCGAAAACGCCATGGTGGTGCACCCAGTGGTTGAAAAGATAAACGCGCGCTTAAACCGTGACTGACCAGGCCGGGTCGCTGAAGCTACACGGCTGCAGTTAGTTGACGGCAGGACTCTTCGACATTTGGCCTCTCGAGCCAGCGTATATGTACCGCTTACCGATACAGACTGTAGCAGTGCGACTGCACTGTCATGGTAAGCACAGTGGCACAGTAGATACAGCATCATTATCCTTATTTTTAAGTTTGTGTGTGTGTGTGTGGGGGTGCGTGGGTGTTGGGGGTGTTTCGGGTGTGGCAAAGTTGGATTGGTGCAAGAGTATCAAACTGAAGTCGGGCATCGGTCCCTGGAGGTCTTGCGCAAGCCCTGCGCGTAGACATGGTCGCCCATGTAAACAATTCCGTAACCATGACACCGTCTATATCCAAACGTAGTAACCACAGCGACGTGGTGCCAAATGAAGCCAGTAGTGTCGCGTACATCCGAAGGCCTCTCGAAGAGCGTTCTCATATAAAATGAACAGTGTCGTTTGTGACCAAAGGCAACCTTTCTGAAAGAAGAATTTCCTGTAATTTATTGCGCCCTGTGCAACCTAGCATTTCTTCTAAACGGCATTGTCCTGCATCTGTAATCAAAGGATAAGCTTTCACCGTCCTTGGCCTGTGTAGCCAGCATTACGCTCTGTACCCACAAGCGTTCCCCGTGCATGCCCGTGTGTTCAGTACACAGCGGCGACCTGTTGTCGGCAGGTCTGTCGTCACTGTCAGCTCCAGGATGACCGGCACTGTGGAGTTCCAGCGGCTGCCCAAGACGGTAGCGCCGCGCCACTACACCCTCCACCTGCACCCGGACCTCGTCCAGCTGACCTTCACCGGCCACGTCATCTGCGACCTGGAGGTCAGTCGCCGGCCGTCGCCGCCGCCGCACCCTTGGCCAGGACACTGGCCGGCGGACGCCTGCTCGCTCGCAAAACACACTGGACAGGGGCACCTTATCACATGTTGTTATGCGTGCTTTACATTAACGTCGTACCCCTGGCAATACCCAGCATTGTGCCGCGCAGCAACTTAAGTGCAGGTGAAAAGCATTGCTGTTTTGGAAGGAGTCGAACCCAGACGTCACATGCGGAAGTCCTTCCTGCCAACTGAGCTGGTATCGCTTGTATGCGCTCAAACAGGGTGGAGTCCAACGGCAAAGGTGTTGTAACATAGGATAGAAATCGCTTCCGAAAAAGGCAGGCCCACCAGGTGATGCAGCCTGTGTCCCGGCTCGATGGTTATGCGAGAACAGTGAGGTTGTTGGCCAAATGCCCTCATGACATTTGGCCAAATGCGATCTTCGGGAACGGAGCGGTACGACCGGCTAACTAGCGGCTAGACACAAACTAATCCGAGCCCGGGTGGCTGGTGTTTGTGCGCTTATGGTGACCGCTAAGCCGCAATGATGCTTGAAATAGGCTTCTGAAAAGTTCGAACGCCTGAAGCTTTTTGCGGTAAAAGATATCCAAATGTCACATGCTTGAATAGACCGAAATATTCATCACAAAACAAGATTAGGATTACGAAATATAATCACAAACGGCCACAGGACTTGCACCGCGGCATGAGGAATGAAGAAGCCGCCATTACACCCCGCATCATTCTCTAATCCACGCTCCCCAACGGTAGACGATCCCGGCCAACGGCCACGGGCTGGAGCTTGCCGGCGCCGGCAGCCGGCGTGACCTTTAAACCACAATACCTCGCCGTCGGTCGTATGTCGATATCCAATATGACCGTGTGAGGACAGGAATGCGGCCCAAGTGCTCTGGGCCAGCTGAGGTCATGTGTCGTGGTGGCAGCGGTCGTTGGCGCCCCTGGTGACCTGTGCCGCCCGCGCTCGTGGTGACCTGTGCCGTCCGCGCCCCTGGTGACCTGTGCCACCCGCGTCCCTGGTGACCTGTGTTGTCCGTGTCCCTGGTGACCTGTGCCGTCCGTGGCCCCTGGTGGCCTGTGTTGTCCACACCCCTGGTGACCTGTGCTGTCCACGCCCCTGGTGACCTGTGCCGTCCGTGGCCCCTTGGTGACCTGTGCCGTCCGCGCCACTGGTGACCTGTGCTGTCCGTGACCCCCGGTGACCTGTGCCGTCCGCGCCCCTGGTGACCTGTGCCGTCCGCGCCACTGGTGACCTGTGCTGTCCGTGACCCCTGGTGACCTGTGCCGTCCGCGCTTCTGGTGACCTGTGCCGTCCGCGCCCCTGGTGACCTGTGCCGTCCGTGGCCGCTGGTGACCTGTGTGCCGGTCCGGCGTCCGTTGCGCCGCACTTGGGGGTTGGACGCACGCCAGCATTGCTGATCTCTGATCAGTCGAACCGCTACATTCGCTGTTGGGCTCCGGGAATCAGCGTCGTTCAAAGCGTCCACTTACCACAGGTTTTGTGACACCGTGCAGCAGCGAATCCGCCGATACCGCCGCTCCTCATAATGCACCGCAACACAGACGAGCCGTCACTGCAATGTGTGCATGCAGCATGGAAAATCAACTGCACAGTTCAACAGCACGGAAGTACGCCGGTTGTCTTTATAATTGTGCATGGTATTATATATGCACAGGTATATACACACGTTTACTGTCCAGACCATTTTGGCATCTCCCCGACCGCGGTCGAGCACACCGTGCTCGCGGAACTGTCTCGCATTCTCGGATCACACACACACGCGCACCGTCCTATTAGCAGGCGCCGGCCGCGACCGACCGCCCCGGCAAAACCCGTCCGAGGCGGGGTGCGGGTAATCCAGGGTCACGGAAGGTCACTGTGTAACCGCACGCGCAGGGAGGCTCGCGGGATGGCCGGCGTACCACGGCCGTTGCTGACACACGGCCGGCAGGCTTCCTGCGGTGTACCGTCCGCTCCCAGTCCGCAGTGTTCCGGTTCCCAGCCTCTGGTCTGCTGCGTCCGGGTCAATGGTGGCCGCTGTACCGTTTGGTGACACATGATGTCTGTGTGCCGACCTCTGGTTCCCCGTGTGCCAGCCTGTTGCGCCGCCTTGTGGCGTCGCCGGGGCGCCGGGGCCACCTGGCCGAGACACGTGGTGTGCCTGCCTGGCCCGGCCGACAGCCGGGCGTGTCGCGTCGTGTCCCGGCTCCGAAACAGGCCGGGGCGCGCCCGAACAGTCACTCTCTCACGCGCCCCACAAGGCGCCTGCCCACCGCTCCACTGCAAAAACACGGCCCCGGCGTGTACACCTCTTTGTTGGGAGGGCTGGCTGGCCCGTGGAGAGTGAAAAATCGGCACATGTTTCGGCTGCGTGGGCCGTGCTCGATCAGCATCACGTCATGCGGTCCACCGCGGCGCCGCTTCTTTCTAGGCCGCCGGCACACTTCCGTGTCGGTGAATTGTGCAATCGATTTTCCATGTTGCATGATACGTTGCATACGTTCGCCTTTTTTTGGCCGTTGCACGGCATTTGTGCTTATATGAAGCTCCCATTTATCAAAGACAAGATCTTGCAGCTGTAACAAAGTTTTCTTATTGACGAATCGTACAAAAATATTTGTATCGCTTGCCTTGATTCTGGTATGATCGCCTTTTTGTACGTTTGTTTTCCGTTAAGGTCAAGTAGGCCACGCCTGTGCCTGTATAATCCCCAGCTGTCATTGTGGGGGATCATTCTTAGAACCAGAGCTTTTCCGCTTCCATCATTTGGGTCGTCCCATCGTCCAACACCTTTAAAACCCGCTGAGCGGTAGCAGATCGGCGCGAAAGCAAACACCAAGTTTGGAAAACATTATGAATGTAATTGGGAGGTCGAAAATGCAACTGTGCGTGGCTAAAAGGAACCACGCCAGCCGAACCGCTGCTTCTCTGGGTAAGAGTTGAACGCTGTTGGCCAGCAGGATTATAGATACCGGGTGAAACGAAGTTCCGTAGGCGGAATGTCTGTAGGCTGAAACCAGAAATACACTGTGCGTGCAATGTAGGCCATATTTTTAACTTATACTAAATATCTGGCGGTTATTATTTGAAGATAGCGTGCTGCAGGTGCTACAATGCTGAATGTACTTGAAATTTAAATAAATGGCATGCCCACAATTTTTGCAAGAAGCTGTCGAGGAGTTGCACACTACATTACATCGACAGCATGTGTTGGCTGATCAGAAACAACTCAGCGTATTTCATGCCGAGCTAGTAGAAAAACTGCCGTTTCGGGTACGGCTCCGTCACGTTACCGATTGAGCTATGGGAAGCACTGGGCATCCCTCGAAGGTCGGAGAATTCACGGCGCACCATGTCCTAATACTTACAGCCCGTACGGCGTGAGAGTTCGACTTCTGCAGACAAAATTGGTCAGTGGATCGGCTCAAGATAATTAAACAATCTTTTGTTTGGTGCCGGGTTCGTGGAAATTGATAGAATTCGGCTCATAGCTCTATGAAAAGCAGGCCTCCAACACGTGAGCGCTATGGGCTAGTAGGAAAATCACGCCGTAGAGTGATCGTGCTGCCAATGTGCTTCGGTGGGAGCTGGTTGGCCGGGACGCGCGCTAACTGCGGCCGTGCTGCCACCGGCTTTTGCTGCCACAGCCGGGATGGCCGATTTGACGAGTGACGACGCCACGGCGCCATGTAGGGTGGCTGCCGTGGGGCCGCATAGAGTGCTGTGACGGGGCTGTTGAGACCGGTTGTCGTGGGGCGGTTGAAGGGAATGTGACACATTTTCAGATTTTGAAGCAACTGTCAGCTATGATGAAATCGGCTCACTTACAAATATTGGCATGCTTTTAAGTGCAAAAGACTGGTCTAGATAAGAAAATGTCTATTCAGCACATATGCTCCCCAATGTGTCATTGCTCTGCCGCGTCGTGGAACGTTTGTCTGACAGCACTCACTTGTATTTCTTAAATCTTCCAAGAGATGGCCGCGCGGGCTGGAAGTGTTTGCTGAGCCAAATATTGTTTTGTGCGCTTGTTTTGGGCCCTTTTCGTGGTATTCTTGCATATTTATCCGTAAGTCTAACATGTTTCTTTGCACTCGCATACTCGGTTATAGCGCTAGTGCAGTGACCATCTTCGGCCGTTAGAGCGCCTGTCGCCGGACCGTTTGGAGCAGCCGTCGTAAGACTGTTTCGAGCAAACATCGTGTGGCCACCATAAGCTGTTATCGTGGGACCTTTTAAAGCCGTCATGGCGTGGGCGCGGTGTCGCCGGAGTGTAACTATCCTAGGGCTCTCACCGCCGAAAACGTTGCCGTTTATGGTTTTAGCTGACGCATCGTTTAAAGACTTGGCAAAAGTCGCCACAATCAGTCCACTTAAATAGCCGTGTTGAATGATATCTCCTGCGTTGCATATATGTCCTCCGATATCCGCTCCTGTACTTACGGTTTCTCCTCTATGAATTATATCTCCTACTCAGATCCAACCTTCGGATTTCTAACACGAACTGAATGAAACATTGATATATATATATATATATATATATATATATATATATGTATATATAGCAAATATATAAGTATATATATATATAGATAGATAGATAGATAGATAGATAGATAGATAGATAGATAGATAGATAGATAGATAGATAATAAAGTGAATTTTACCGTGTCGAGTACGATGCCCAGCGCTGTCCACTTTGGCCTGAGCCGTTAGGGACCGCTGCTGTAATGGACCGTTCGCCCGACTGTGATCCTGGCCTCTGGCCCCTCGGACGCTGAGGACTAGCGTCTGACCCTGACGCTGGTCCCGGCCTGCCCACGGTTATGACACTAACCCCTGGATGTCCACACTAAACCATCCTTGGGCCAGACCCGGCCCGGGCCTGGACGCTGGCGCTTCATCTCTATTTATCATCTATGCCCTGGCCCAGGCCCTGGCGCTGACCGTGTCCCACTGCCTTCTAGGTGAAGTCGTCATGCAGCAGCATCGTCTGCAACGCGGCCGAGCTGGACATCGTCAGCGTGACGGTGACGCGGGACGGCGTCAGCTGCTCGCCGCGCTGGGAGGTCAGCGTCGACCAGGAGACGCTCACGTGCCACCTGGCCGAGCCGGTGCCGCCGGGGCCGCTGCAGATGCGCGTGGACTTCTCGGCGCCGCTTACCGACAAGATGCGCGGTCTGTACCGCTGCAAATACACCAGGTGCGTGCGTGGCGGTGCTGCGGGGGCACGGCAGACGGGCGTCGCGCCGGTGTGGGCCGCATCTATGGGGACATCCTACAAGTGCCCACGGCCCGGCGCCTACATCGGTGCCCGGTGCGCATCAATGTGTTAGGCAGCGATGCGCACGAGAGTTTGTGCGTTGCTCCTCGCTGTAAACTCTTCTCCAATACGCCTGGCAATCTCCGCTTGAGCTTCGGCGCACGTCGGCGGCTCTGTCAGTTGCCTGCCAACATTTACCAACGCAACGTCTGTGGTCGGAGGTGTTGTCGAACTGGGCTCTGGCTGAAGTGCCGTAACCGTGGCAAGCTTCGGACCTACCCTGACCGCTACAGTTAACGTCACTGTGGAGTGGACGTGTTGCGTGCTTGATGGCTGAGCCATACGTCGCCTGATGGCTGGGCCGACGTCGCCTGATGGCTGAGCCTGACATCGCCTTGTGGCTGAGCCTGATGTCGCATGGTGGCTGAGCCTGATGTCGCATGGTGGCTGAGCATGACGTTACCTGATGGTGACACGGACGACGGAGACCCGTGTGACGTGACGACCTAGTGTGACTGGCCAGTCTGGCTGCTGGGAGCTATGTGATGTTCCCTAACATGGTTTGATCTGACCTGACCCGCCCTGGCCTTCGAACTAACTGTGAGCGACCTAGGATGACTCGCTTTCTGGCTGTTCGTGACGCATCCTGGTGACCGGCGCGTGGCGTAGGGATCCGGAATTTGTCTTAAACTGTCCTGTACTCACCATATGTGTACGCATGACGTTTGACGTATGGGATGCACATTGGTCCGTCTGGCGGGGAGCGGGTCCCAATCTCGTCTGACCCAATGTGACCTGATGTGCGTGCAGTCCGTCTGGCGGGGAGCGGGTCCCAATCTCGTCTGACCCAATGTGACCTGATGTGCGTGCAGTCCGTCTGGTGGGGAGCGGGTCCCAATCTCGTCTGACCCAATGTGACGTGATGTGCGTGCAGTCCGTCCGGTGAGGAGCGGTACGCCGCGGCCACCCAGTTCGAAGCGACGGACGCCCGTCGCTGCTTCCCCTGCTGGGACGAGCCGGCGCTCAAGGCCACCTTCGACATCACACTGGTGTCGCCGCGTGACCGCGTGGCCCTCTCCAACATGGTGAGTCTCGACCCCGGGCCACACCGATGTCCGGGCTGGGACAGGGCGCCCAGGTGCTCTACCTCCGACCATACCGATATCCGGGCTCGGGCTGGGCGCTCCTTCCCTCCGACATCTGGACGCTGCAAAGTGCGTTGAAATTAGCTGAACGTGTCTGGTTTGCACCTGATGTGGAATTTGGACAATATTTCCCTTTGAGCGCTGTTGTAACTAACGCGCAGATATCGTACAATAATGTTATTCAGGTGCATTTTGGAACCCCGCCTTTTAGCGAAGCCGGTGGAGCTGAAATTCTGCGTGGCTTATTGTGGGAGGACGTTTCGATGCATCTATTCGTGGGGAACGTGCTGAAGCGGTTGACTGCTGCAGTCTTCCGCCACTGCGGACAACTACGGTGTCAATGCAGTTCGTGGTTCATGATAAGGGTAAAATGAAATTCACCAGTCAGTTTCGTTTATCAAATCTCGTATGGTGTGTAGCAGCTCACCCCTGAAATATTCGGCATGTGTTGTGTTCTTGTAAAGTGACGTCCGTCTCTCTAATGCAAAGACCTGATTCGGCGTAACGGGTGTACAGAAAGTACCGTTTTCTCCTGCCTGATCTTTATCAAACCCTTTTGGAGAGGCATTTTCACCGGCCGTGGCCGCCGCGTATAAAACTCTGGTACGCCTCATTGATTAGCCCGAGGTCACACGACGGGACAATGGCTCAGCGGCCGCTGCAGTTATGACATCTAACGGTCACCGCCCGGCCGTCGCCCGCCGCGCCGTGCCGAGCCGTGCCGTCAGCCTGGCGGCTGCCGCGCGCCGGCACGTGCTGCCGCGCCGGTCACGTGGCCGCGCGTCCGTCACGTGACGGCAGGCCGAGTCGAGCCGCGCCGCGACGCTCTGCAGTGTGCTCTGCCCGGCGGCGGCGGCGGCGGCGGCGGCGGCTAACGGCACTGGCCGATCGGACGGAGATCCGTGGGCCGCGGGCGCCGCACATGCTGTGTGCAGCACCCTGGCCGCCGGCCGAGCGGCGCGCCGGGGCCGGCCGGGCCGCGGCCCGGGGTGCGGCCCAGCACTGGGCCGCTCGGTAGGTCCTGCGAGCACGCCTGTACGGCTGGCACATGCTGCCCCTCTCACGGCTGACACATGCTGCCCCTTTCACGGCTGACACATGCTGCCTCTTTCACGACTGACACATACTGTCCCTTCTCACGGCCTACACATGCTTCCCCTCTCACGGCTGAGACGCCGCCCCTCTCGCGGCTGAGACGCTGCCCCTCTCACGGCTGACACGCTGCCCCTCTCACGGCTGACACATGCCGCCGCTCTCACGGCTGACATATACTGCCCCTCTCACAGCTGACACGTGCTGCCCTTGTCACGGCTGACATACGTGGCTGGGCATGTATATGCGAGGCACGATGTTGCAGGACGAGTTCGTGCTGAAGCCGTTCCAGCGGTGTATTGTTTATTCTAACACAGGTCCGGGAGTGCGTGGTACCGAACTTGCGACCATAACATTGACGCTCCCCAGGAGAGGGTGGGCCATTTGGGCACGCGCTCCGCAATGGACACCACACGGAAAGGCAAGAAGCCAGTCCTGAGCGCTAACAAGAGGCATGGGCGGAATGGTGTCGAAATCCAGTGATTTTTACACGCCCGCTCTTGTTCTCGTTTGTCCCTTCATGTACATGACACGGTGAAACGTTGCCTTCGGTCTTATACCGTTCTGTCTGCTTCCGCATGTAGGCAGTGGTGGAGGCCTAAGAGTTGTCCATTCCCTCGTCGTTAGTGTTATTTTTCCGTCAGTCGTGATACAAAATGTCAAAGTTGGCAAGCGTTCTTCTGACCTCGAGGCATTTCTCTCTTGTTTTTGTCGTGAAGATGGAGTTATGTTTTCCGCTGATCCCACGGCGGATTGTCTCCAGCTGACTGGTTTCGATCCATAGAACGTCATTCAGTGATGTTTAGTTTCCTATTCATTTGGCCTTTTCAGATGTTTTGCATCGCCGCTTGTTAAGCCAGGTACCGTGATTTTTTAGGCTCACGCAGTGGTCTTAGCTTGTTCGCCGGTGTTTCGTGGTGTTCCGTCCCTGCATGCCGTTGTCTCATTGCGTCTATCACGCGACGGCTGATTATCGAGAGGATATCTGAGCCACAGCGAGTCAGGCGGGGCAGCCACAGCGCGGCCCAGCTGTGTATGCGGTCGGTATGCGACGCCATGCATTGTCTGCGGGACGGCGCGGTGCCGACTTCCCCGTCTAGACTCGCGCCGTCGCAAGCGAACCACACGACAACCTGGCACCGACGGAGCGGCACTGGTCAGGTCTCAGCGGTGCCTCCGCTCAGGTATCTTACAATGGACAGAGATGCACCTCCGACACAGGACCGGGCTGTGTGGCGGATCCCGAACGCCCAGCCCGGCTGCCTGTATTACATCTTTCCTCTCGCTGTCGTGGAAACGAGCGCGCCGTTAGGATTCGGCTTATTGAAGTCCTCAACTCCGCTGGTGGTTGTTTGCCGTGTATTGTTTGTATATGCAGCTCATCACCAATAAAGTAAGACTTCACAGATGGTTAAGTCCATTGTGAAAAGAACACGCTCCAGCCGTCACGTATCATTTATTAAAACGAACAGGCATGTTCGCTGAACAAGTGATCCCGCTTCTATTGATGAATCAAAGGGTGTTGGTCTCCCTGGACAGCCCTCAGAGGCCGACATATATTGTGCTTACACATACTGGCAGCACGCTAAACAATGTATGCGTGCCGGCTGGCTGATGTGGCTTATGCAAAGGGAAGCTGCTGGGCGAGTTTCTCGACTGAATTTTCCTCGAACTACGTTTCTGAAAAATGCAAGACTATTACAGCAGTGCCGACTGCCACCAACCACGAGACATTTGTGAGGGGCTTAGGTTTCTGGTGCGCTTTGGGGTAATCGTGGTCGGATTTGCCTACCTCGAACATTTGGGCTCTTGTTTGGAGCACGAGCCCGAAGATGCGTTTGATTGTATCAAACGTATTCGCTGTAAGTATCATAGGTTCTCTGTAAATACAACTAAGTGAATGCGACTAAGCTCTGACTCCCCTGGACTCCATCATGACCACCGGCTTGGGAGGTCGTCAGTGGGAGGCGCTGGCCTGCGTTGGTGAAGAATGTGGAGGACATGCTGTGCTACGTTCTAGGCTTGCTCTTCAGCTTGATTGCGCCCAGGTTTGATATCCCTGGTATGTGTTGATGTGTTGCCCCTCCTCGCCGTCTTTCAGAGTGCTAACCCGAGAACCGGTGTGGTAGGCTCATCCAGCTGTTACATGTGCAATGGCTTCAGAATTTCCACGAAAGATGCTTAATCTAACGAAGGCTCGGATGCTTGTTGAAGTACAGTTGGTCTTGTCACGCGCGGACCTTACGGTGTCACTTCGGCGCTTTAAACTGCCAGACATCCGTGTCATGAATACTTTTAAACGAGCTGTTAGCAATGCGGATATCAAAATTGCTCGGTTCCGGGAAGGCTGCTCATGCATTGTTACATGCCAGCTTCAAGGCTATAGTATCGCAAGCATCCTGCATAACTCGCCGTCATATCCAAGACCTGAGTGCAGCTATGTGCCGCGACCTCCCATTAGCGGCATTACCGAACCGGGCGCGGCCCGGCCGACCAGCCAAAAAAGGCGGCGGGCGCGCTTTGCGGCGAGACAGCGCGGCCCATCTGCGCCGGCGTTAATTAATGAGTGGCCGGGCCCGGGACAGCGGCTTACGATGGCGGACATGGCGGCGCGGCGGGGATTAGCGTCGACAGCGGACCGGCCGCTGGACCGGCGAGCCGGCCGACCCGACTGGACCGCGCACCGCGCCGCATCGCGCCGCGCCGCGCCGCGCCGCGCCGCGCCGCGCCGCGCCGCACCGCGCCGCACCGCGCCGCACCGCGCCGCACCGCACCGCACCGCACCGCACCGCCGCCGCGCCGTTTCGCGCCGCACCGCACCGCGCCCGACCCGACCCGACCCGACCCGACCCGACCTAACCTGACCGGACCGGACCGGACCGCGTCGCACGGGTCACAGCCTGCGCGTAACCAGTGCCGTGGGTGGGGAGGGGGACGGTCCCGTCAGGCGGACGGCCACCACCTGTAGGTTGCGCGCGCGGTGGTGGGGGATCGGCCCGCTCCGAGCGTGCCGCCGCTATCTGGGCTTGCCGCGCGGCGCCAGCAGCTGCGAGCCACGACTTCCGCCATCCGGCCACGGCTGTTTCCACTGTCAGTAGCGTAGATGTAGATGTGTCGCTGCACGGCAGCGGTACTTATATTTTCGCCTGTTGTCACAGTCACAGTCACAGAATGCGTCCAAACCTCGCGGCCGACGTGAAGCAGGTCATGTTAAATGTTACGTTAAGATTTCAAGCGGCAGCCAGCGATAGAACGTAACTTTTCACTAACGAAAACACATGGCATGTGGGTATATTCAGCTGGTCTGAACGGCTTCGGCGCCGCTGAATGCCAAGCTGCTGGCGTCACCCTGCTCAATGCCCATATGGCGGCGTCCCGAGATCATGGTGGATAGGGGACAATGCAGTGCAGTATACGTCTGCCGTACATGTCTGCCGAGCTGTTTGTCACCACGCTGATGTAACCCGCCCAGAAGAGACGCAGTGCAAGAATGCCGTTCCGCCGGTGCCCGGCGCCAAGGTCGGTGGCACGTGGTGTCCCCCGACGTTAGGCCCCCGAACACACGTGCAGCGGCGCGCGAGAACCGTCAGCCCCAGGTGACATGGATGACGGAATGTCTTCCAAAAGTTCTGGGATGGCCCATAGCATACGACATGCGGTGTGCATTAGTCACTGATGGGCAACAGGCGCGGCCCAGTCACGGGCGCGCTCATCGAGAAGACCTACACCGCAAAAGCCAAGTGTAGGCATGCGACTGTATAAGGGGTGAAGTCACCGCAGAACGACTGAAAGCTTGAAGCGCTCTCCTTTTCATGGTGGTGATGTAATTATATGACGTTGGGGAGACAGGGCTTGCCGATATTACATGTTTTTGTTCAACACCTTGAAAGTCGCCACGTCATCTCCATTCATGGGTACGTTTCGTCGTGCACGTTTTCACTGTACGCTGTAATAATTAGGCCGAGTTTTCAATCAGTGGGGTCTTCATTGCAGACGGACACGTAGGAGTAGTATTTAGTTATGGTAGTGTCGTGGTGGTTATCGTTATGTCCTAAGAAAGCCTAACTTAGACAATAGTTGAGTTGTTTCGGATTTGTTGGACGTTGAAATGTTGGTTTTGTCAATTTGTATGGTCCGTTCGAGGAAAAACTAAATAAGAAACATTGATAAGATACTTTAGGTGCGATGAGCTCAACCCTTTTAGTTGCTTTCTAGGCACGTCCCCTCCCCTTCCCCTTTTACCCCCGAATGCTGCTCAGCTCCCACGTTACAGCGCTCCCACACGACAAATTTCTGCTGTCCACCCGCAAACGGCTTTCACTACCTCCTCCAAAACGGGTTGATTCTCAACTTCCGTGTCGTTGATTCCTAGGGTGCCGGGACTGGGACCGGTGGTGCCGGTAGTGTGTGGCACGGCCGGCCGCGCTTCAGCCTGTCCGGACGGGCCTGACCGGTGCCAGCCGGCCGGCCGGCGGGCCGCGCAGCAAAGGTCAGGGCCCGCGCGCGCTGGCGGCCGACTCCGGGGTTTGCTGTCTGCCGGCGGCGCCGGCCGCGTCACGCGCGCAGGCGTAGAGGGCAGCACGACGAACCGCGCCGACTCGTGAGTGTCGCAGCGGCCTCCACGTGACGTGGACCAGGCTCCTCCCGTCTGCGGGGACCGGTGTCCACATGACATGGACCAGGCTTCTGCCCGCATGGGCCGATGTCCAGGTGCCGTGGGCCAGGCTCCTCCTGCCTGCAGGGGCGGTGTCCACGTGACATGGACCAGGCTCCTCCTGCCTGCAGGGGCGGTGTCCATGTGACATGGACCAGGCTCCTCTTGCCTGCAGGGGCCGGTGTCCACGTGCCGTGGGCCAGGCTCCCGCTTACAGGGGCCGGTGTCCACGTGACATGGACTAGGCTCCTCCTGCCTGCAGGGGCCGGTGTGCACGTGACGTGAACGAGGCTCCTCCTGCCTGCAGGGCCGGTGTCCACGTGGCATGAACCAGGCTCCTCCCGCCTGCAGGACCGGTGTCCACATGACGTGGACCAGGCTCCTCCCTCCTGCAGGGCCGGTGTCCACATGACGTGGACCAGGCTTCTCCTGCCTGCGGGGGCCGGTGTCCACGGGACGTGGACCAGGCTCCTCCTGCTTGCAGGGGCCGGTGTCCACATGACGTGGACCAGGCTTCTCCTGCCTGCGGGGGCCGGTGTTCACGGGACGCGGGCCAGGCTCCTCCTGCCTGCAGGGGCCGGTGTCCACGTGACGTGGACCAGGCTCCTCCTGCCTGCAGGGGCCGGTGTCCACGTGACGTGGACCAGGCTCCTCCTGCCTGCAGGGGCCGGTGTCCACATGACGTGGACCAGGCTCCTCCTGCCTGCAGGGGCGGTGCCCACGTGGCATGGACCGGGCTGCTCCTGCCTGCAGGACCGGTGTCCACGTGCCGTGAGGTGACGTGTTGGCTCCCGGCCGCGGTATGCCGGTCCGGCTCTGGTCTGGTCGGACGCGGGGACAGGTGCGGCCCGGCCGGTCGCCGGCAGCGGGCTGGCGGCCGCTGGCGGCCACGCTCGGGTCGTGCCGCTCTGCAAACCGTGACGGGTCGCCTGCAGCCCGGGACGACGTCAGGCATCTTGTCACGCTGGCTCGCTGTCACAGTAACGCTGCACACGGGCGTGCACGTGGGCGCCATATCTGACCCGGTAGCCGCTACGCCCCTAAGCCCGAGCCATTAATTAATGCATCGAGTGTCACGTGCATGCTGTTCGGGAGGCCCATAACATCCCCGTGGCCTGTGGCTGCCCAAGCTCGAAACATTAATGTCACCGCGTCGTGATATACCAATGTGAATGCACTTCGGCTGGAGCGAACCACACTGGCGGCCTTTCCGGATTTGGACGCTTGGCGACAGTTTAACTCAACTGGTTTCATTGAATCCATTTCCATGAACAGGTTCTCTTTTCGATGCTTACGGTACCATGTTTACGTCCGAGATTAAATGTAATGGCAATTTCTGACAGTTGGGCTCGATTTCGCCAGACACATTCAAGTTTCATGGATAAAATGGTATCGAATGACCATAAGCACAGGAAGCATTGTTTTGTTTTCGTGTTGAGCGAATGCAAGACGCACATGAATGGAGTCTTCTGTGTCTTTTCATGAAGGCCTCGGGAATGTGCTGGGAGGACCGGTATGGAATACGGAAAATCAGATTACTGGAATGCCACTCGTGTTGAAGTATGTCCGCGCAAGTGAGCAGGAAAAAAAAAACGATGCTCTTGCGTGCTTTTAAAAGTCCTGCATATCTGTGGGACCCGAGCGTCTTCCAAAGGAGAAAATTGTTGACTCCTGGGTGCGTGGTCAACCCACGAACGTTGTATAAGTCCATATAATTGGCAGATCACGTTAGGGAGTGCGTATCGATTAGGCCGTGGTAGCGTCTGAGCTGAGGCGCCGTTAGCGTTCACCGCCCGTGACACAGGCGCTGCCGCGTACATTTTGCGTTGACGCGCCGCTCTCGTCACGAGCTGCCCGCCAGGAGCGCAGCGGCTGTTGTGCGTGACGCAGCCGGCTCACGCCCTGGTCTGTTCGCCTGCCGCAGCCGGTGGCCCGCGAGGAGGATCACCCGGAGCAGAAGGAGCTGAAGGTGGTGCACTTCGCCACCACGCCCGTCATGTCCACCTACATCATCGCCTGCGTGGTGGGCGAGTTCGACCACATCGAGACCACGTCCGAGGACGGCGTCTGCATTCGCGTCTACACGCCGGTCGGCAAGAGCGAGCAGGTACGGCCAGCGGCCGCTCCGTCGGCCCTGGATGCTGCGTCACGAGCAGCGCCGGCGGCTGGGTGGTCTTATCTGGCTGATGAGATGATCCGCAGCTGTGTAGTACGCCCATGTTACAGGCATGGTAGACGTTAAGAACATTAGAGGGGCGGCCGCGAGCAGCTAAGACGCCTGCCGCGTGCCTTGCACAAGAGCCTCTATGCTGCTTGCATACCGGAAGCCCTCGCGTCGTCCGTTTGCAGAGGGGGGGAGCACGGGGCAGGCCCCGCTGGGAAGCACCGCGGCTCGCATACCAGCGCGTGACGTGGAGCCGAGGGGAGGAGTAGGAGGAGTGGCCGGGACGCGGTGATCACGCGGAAGGGAGGAGTGGCCGGGACGCGGTGATCACACGGGGCTTACCGCCGTGCGTCCGGCTCAGGCGCCATCCCCGACCACCTGGTCTGCGCGCCCCATCGGCTGTGCCGTGCATATTGGCCGCCGCGTGGCCGATCGCATGCTGCGGGCTGGCAGAGCCCGCCGGCCTAAGACGCCAGAGCCGTCTGATCCGAGCCGGTTTCTGACGACAAATCGGGG